AAAAACGAGTCTCGTCCGGGTTTGCCCGGGTCGCCCGGGTCATGGGTTGACCCGCCGGGTTTAACCGGGCTGTTGCCACAACCGGTATTTTATTAAACCCGAACCGGTCCAGGCACCGGGTCGGCCGGGTCCCGGGTTGACCCGTCGGGCCGGGCCGGGTTTAATAACACTGGCTAGAGCATCTCCAATGAAAAAGCTAAATGGATAACCAAAAATAAAATATTAATATTTTGGCTTTTCTTTGTTTGTTTTGCACACTCCAAAAGGGAAGCCAAATAAAATGCTAAAATGCATTTTCTCTCTCACAAATGCTATTTTTACGTATCTCTTCAAAGAGTCAAAACCAACAAAGTAGGACTACTAAAAAAATAGACCAATTAAATATAGATATGTAGAAAAAAATAACATTAAACATATTAAAAAATAATAAAACACTTGTTTTTTTCACTCCAATATAAATAGCTCTTCAAATAAATTTTTTTCATTAAAATAGATATTGTAAGATAAGCTATATTTATATTATTCAAAATGCTATTTTATTAATTTAGCTTTTCAAAATAGCATCAGGGGTGGCCTGATCACAGTGGCCACCTTGCTTCGCGAGTTCAATTATGTGAGCTTAAAAAATAACTACATGGAACGAAGCTGGATCGATTTTTTTTAATATAAAAAAATTATCCATATGATTATAACATTTTTAAAGTAGAAAAAGAAATTCAGAATCCTTCTTATTAATTTGATTATTAATGTTGGATTGAATAATTCTGATTAATTTAATTATATAATTAAAAAACAAATAATAAAAAAATCCATAAAAAATGACTAATGAGTAATAAAAAAGAATGTTTATCAATATTATATAAAGACGTTCTCTAAATATTTTTAAAAAATCTCAATTATCTCATTTAGTAACAAAATAAAAATTATTTGAGAATAGGATATTATCATAAAGAGAAAAATAAAAAAAAATCAAATTTTAATTACTATCAAAGCAAACATTTAAGGAAGAGCTCAAAAAAATTAATTAAAAAAATTAAAAAAATATAATTCTAGTTAACATGTTAAATTTATGTCCTGATTTCATGACTAGAATTACCGCTCACAAAAAAAATTAAATAAAATAATAAAAATTAATTTATAAACAAACTAAATGATTAAAGACAAGATTAAAAAAATAATTAAAAAAATCAAGTTAACTCGAATTAATTATATTAATTTGCCACCTAAGATATGTAATTGAAGTATCTTTATAAAAAATTAAAAAAAAAATTCATAAAAGTCAAAACTCAATAAATTAATAATGAATAATAAAATTAAAAAAAAACAAAAAAAACTAACATTAAATCAAACTAATCTTCCAAACCTATTAAAAAATTAATTAACTCAGTTTGCAAACTAATTAACTGTCTCTTGGTGCACAGTTAAGAGGGGTACGGACAGTTGAACGAGTGTAGATTTTGTTTCAATATTTTTTCCTCTTTTTGTGCATGTCTGTGTGGTTGGTTGGGGAAGAAATGTTTTAGATACAGAAACAAATTGAAAACTGAAACAAAAAGAGGGATCAGTGGAAAATAAATAAATATTTTATCTTTGAAATCAACCTTGAATTATGTTTTTTTAATTTTGAATTCCATTTGGTGGTTGGGAACGGGTGGGCCCTGGGAGGGGGGGTTCATTTGTCAAAAAACACTACTTTTGAGCAATCTTAATATATCCATGATTGAATTCTCTGCAAGTTTTTGGGTTTTTCATGTTGGATGGTCTCTTTATCCCATCAACATTGTGGAGTTGATCTTATTTTTTTGTTAGGCGATAAATCAAGACTGACCACAAAACGCTTCAAAAATCAAGAAACCCTAAAGGAACTCGTGAAGGACTAAAAATCCCCCAGATGGCTACTTCTTGGATTGATTAAAGAACCTCGTGGTAGCAATACATACTCAATCCTTGTGTGACAAGGAAAGAAGAAAGGAAAAGGGAGTTTGACTGGTTGGATGCAAGCATATGTTATGTTATTTCACGGGCCAGTGTATATCTCTATTTTATGGGCCAGGGCTAACAGAGTATACGGATAGATGCAGGGACCGATTCAAGAAAACTTCCTAGATTACAGCAAAACACTTGACGTCACTTTGATTAAGATTGGCATTTATAGGAGAATTAAGGTTAAGATTTTATTTTATTTCAATTTGGGTTGTTTTACTTGGGTTGGATTAGTGTTTCAAGACTATAATACTATTTTGATGTTTTAGTTGGGTTGGAGCATTTTGCATAATTAAGCTAAGTAATTAACATGTGCATGCAGTGGCATAGTCTTTCATGTTCTATCATGGATTTGAGAATGTCAAATAGGGAGGGTAAATTAATGTTGAGAGGTAACTTAACTGCATGGATTAGTAGCCCTAGCTAGCCTGTAGTTTTCAAGTTAGGAAGACAAGAGAATCTTTAATATTATATCATGGATTTTAATGGAAAGAGGAAGCAACTTGGAAGTAAATTCCATGAAGAACCATTTCCTTTAGCACATTAAACCAAATAAAAAAAAAACTGTGGATTTGATTGTTTCCTATTCATCATTATTTTTTTAAATTGTGGATAGGAAAATTGAATTTACTATTTTATCTTTAAAAAATCTTTTTAGCAAGAGAATGAGGTAGAATCCTTTTAATAGGGTCATTTTCAGGGTTAGAAGAGTATCTATCTTAAAATTACACAATAAATTATTATAAATACCCTTAAATCTAATTAGTTGTTTTATGTCATTGAGGGATAAATTTGTATTTTTATTTTTAAAATGTATAAAAAAATAATCAATTTGATCTTATATATAAACATATTTTGGCCACTGTGTTTTTGTCTTATCTAGTAAAAATACCTCCTTATACTTGGATTTTAATTTTTCATGCCTTGTATATGAGGGTATTTTAATAATTATACTCTTTTTTTTTTGTTATTAGGCAAAGTGAAGGTTATTTTTGCCTTTTGAAAAATTAAAAGGATTTTTTTTTTTTAAAAAAGATGGTGTGTGTTGGGTAAACATCAAACGCTTTACTGTTTTTGGATGATACATACAACTAACTTTAGCAATCAAAAATTTCATTTTGAGCGTCATTTGATTTGTCTCGATATCTTCTTTATGTAGAAATAACATGTATAGAAAATAGAGTTTTGATTTGACTTTTACGGTTATTTTTTCTTCTTTTTTTTCTCTCTCCCTCCTTCTATAATTGCATTAAGCTTTGCAATTTTTCAAATTAGTCTCTTGACTTTTTTTTTTATATTTTATCTCTAATTTTTTTATTAATATTTTTTATTTCAAATAACTTATAAAAATAAAAATTTATTTCAATTTCATCTTAATTTGATTTTTTTACTTCTCTTTATTTGTTATTTAGTTCCTAATGTTTGGGTTGATATTTGTTTTTATTTGGAATAACTCATGAAAAATGAATTTTTTTTATTTCATTTTAAATTTGCCTTATTTAGTCTCATTTCTTAATTGCTATTTATGTCATCTATGATTATTTTTATAGTGTAACCTTTTTTATGATTTCATTTATGATTATTTTTTATTAGATTTTATCCTTGTCTTTTTTTTTTGCTAAAGTTTTTAGTTTTTTTTAATACTCAATTTTAGCTTTTAGCATTTAGTCAATTTGGATTTAAACTTCTTGGTTAACCTCGATTTGAAATTTCACATATTCTAGTTTGGAAAATTAACTTAAATTAAAGATTTTTGGTAGGAATTGCTTTTTCTTTTAATCTTTTTTTTTTGTTGTTGCCTTCAATTTAAATTAGATTATTAGATTAATTGATGTTATTAGATATAGTTAAGTTAATGACTTGAATATCATTTTTTTTAAATTATATTGCCCCAGGGTGGTTAACAATTTAGTTTGTTATATAAGGGCTAAAAATACAAATATTTTTTATTTATTCTTATTATCTTTTAATTAATACTATAAAATTTAATACCACAATGATAAACTCACATTCATAAGTTAATTAATTAATTAATTGAGAAAGCAACAATAAACTCCTATACATTGGGGATGGTTTGCAGTATACCCATTCTTTTAATTTTAATATGTTTTTTTTTATACCTCTCGACTATATATAATGAAATTTGCAGATTTAAAGTGTTAGTATCATAATTCAATGATTTACGGTTGTTATTAAACCAGGTTATAAATTATATTGGTTTATGTAATATTGTTTCAACTTTATTAAAAAAGCTAAAATAATATTTTTTTTTAAAAAGAAATTTTTTTTTTAAAAATCAAACTAGATTTTAAGTTATAAATTCATTAGGCTGTCTCGAATTTAATTAAATTAACTTTCATCTTTTTTTAAAAACAATTCGGCCCCCAGCCCGTGACATAGTCCAATATTGATATTTTTGTTTATGAAGATGTCCCTTATAACAATTGTATACATGGATTATTAATTTATTTTATTTAATCTTTTATAATTCTTGAGAAATATGTTGTGCGATATAGCTGGGAATGACCCTCTTGGTGTTTACTATTGGAAGAGAAATTGACGCCATCGTTCTTTACTTCCATGCAAAGCAATATTGCTTTTGTTGGACGCTTTGTGTAAATTACAAATTATATAGCAGATGAGGCACCTAAACATAGGTCAAAAAGCCCCTCTTGCTTTATTTCTCCATGAAAAATAAAGCTTCACTTTCTTTAATCCTTTTTTTTTTTTTTCCTAGAGGCACATGATGGATTTTCTTGCCAAAAACAGGCAGCTAGGGGTGCATCTTTCCAAAATCATTTAATTAATTTAATCTTAGATTAACCCGATGGGGTCATAAATTAACTTGTTAAATTTTAAATTAGCTTATTAATTAGATTATATTAGATCGGGTTTAATAAGTAATGATATTATAACCTAACGGAAACCCCATGAGCTAAACCACAGCTAACCATCGCTCTCGAGGCTACTGTGGTAATTAGCCACACAAGAACGTCACGCACAATAATATAGATGATGATAACAATACTAGCGTAAGATTACCAGTCTCTTCGTAGATGACGGCTGTTAAAAAAAACGCACAGAAAAAACCCCACCGAGCCAGGGACGACACAATTTCCGTTCAATAACTTCAATCCTTCCCTCGCCGTTTACTCTCTCCGTATATCTAAACCACGCCGTCTCATCCTCTATACGACAACGATCTCATGCCTTCTCCCCTTCCTTAAAAACTTCCAGGTCGGGGAGAACACAGTCACCACCGTTCATCAAATGTCACTTCCCCAATCTCCCGCCGTTGATTCCCTCCCTCAACAGCGCGCCTCCACCTTTGATCACCGCGGCTCCTCCAAACGCAAACTAGACGATGTCGATGACCACGACGCCATTTTCTCTGACTTAATCTTCGTCAGGATGCGTAAAGACGACACCGAATCATCCACCGGCCATAACCTGCAACAACCTCCCTCCATCTCCTCCACCAATCAGCTCCCCAAACGTGTCTCCGACGCCTCCGCCTCCACCTCATCATCACCCAACGATTTTCCCTCCACTCCCTCCCCTCTCTGTCGGTCTCAATCGAGGCTCCAATTCTTCATCAGAATGATCTCCGACGGCACTCACATTGTGATCACTGCGAATTTGACTGATTCCGTCAAATCACTCCATGAACGGATTCGCGAGATGACCGGAATTCCTGTGATCGAGCAACGACTAATCTACGAGGGTAAGCAATTGCAATACGAAAACAAACTCTCCGATTACTCTATCGAGAAGGATTCGATTCTTCATTTAGTTGGCCGAATGCGTAGCACTAGGCATCCCCGTACTTGTCAATTGATCAATGATATGGTTTCCTACATTTGTCGAATTTGTAAGTCTATTTTGCCGTGTGGTTTTCATCAATATGTTTCAAAGCAGATAAAAGAGTTGATGCATCAGTTCTTTATCTTGACACCGAAGGATGATAATGAGGATGCTTTAGGACATTTGAATGTGTTTTTATCGAATAGTGCGCCAGCTGCGTTGGTCACACTCTATGTTTCGAGTGTTAAAGGGAATAAGGAGTGCGCGGAGGATGCGATTAAGCATTTTTTGAATTCATGTAGGAATTCGTTGCCAAAGAATTTGCATTTGCAGTGTGTTCCGATTGTGATGGAGTTTTGCAATTTGTTGAGGAAGGTTGGGAGTGATGATCCATTGTATATTGTGTGTAGGAGTTGTCTTGGTTCCTTGTTGGAGAATGGTGGGGGTGCATGTGGGTGGAGGTATCGAGGAGGGGAGGAGGGGAAGGGAGCTGTTGTTATGCAGGAGATTTTTCCGTTTGTTAGTGAGCTGGGGAGTAAGTTGTTTAAAGATTTGATGGGGAGTGTGGTAGGGAGTGTGGGGCCATCAGTAGTTGATGTGAAGGATTTTTCAGCGTTTTTGGTACCATTGCATAGTATGATATCAGAGCAGGGGGCATGTAGGGTTCCGGTTTCGGTGCCGTTGAACAAGAGGGCATTTAATTATCCATTGTATGCGAAGGAGATTGAGCATCTTCATGTGATATTTTTTGATTTGCTGAATATTATGGAGAAATGTCTTGGTAAAATGCAGGATTCTTCACATTTGAAAATGAATGGAGAGGGTGAGTTGAATCATACAGGTTGGTCTCAATATTTGGCTATGCAGGATTCTTCACATTTGAAAATGAATGGAGAGGGTGAGTTGAATCATACAGGCTGGTCTCAATATTTGGCTATTTTGAAGGAGTTGAACAACATTGCTAAACTCTATAAGGGTGCTGAGGAAAAGTTTTGGACAGTTTTGAGACTTAGAAAGGCTTCCCTGTGTGTGCTGATTGTTAGATATGCAAAAAGAACTGAAGATCATCAGTGGCTTCTTCGGAACAAGGATGTGACTGATTTTGAGTCTAGGAGGCATTTGGCTATGATGATGTTCCCTGAGGTGAAAGAAGATTACGAGGAGCTTCACGAGATGCTCATTGATCGGTCACAATTGTTGGCAGAGTCATTTGAGTACATAGTGCATGCCGACTCAGATGCACTGCATGGTGGTCTTTTTCTGGAATTTAAAAACGAGGAAGCTACTGGTCCTGGTGTATTGCGGGAGTGGTTTTTCTTGGTTACACAAGCTCTATTTGATCCTCAAAGAGCTCTTTTTGTGGCATGCCCAAGTGATCGCAGAAGGTTCTATCCTAATCCTGGTAAGCTTCTGCTGCCTGAATGCTAGTGGGTTTTCTCTTTTCTTGATTGGATATATAGGGCTACCAATCCTGGTAACAAAACAAGAAAACCCTAATCATGAATGCCTTACATGAACAATGCTACAGGGTTCTCTCTTCTCTCAATTGAATATAGTTTTTGATGATACGAATGGTTAAACAATATATTCAATTGCCTTGTGTCTAATATGTCACTCCAGCATAGAGTTTGGAACATTGTTGCATATATTTTCACTGGATAATAAAAAATACTCAGATGACCAAAATGTGCAGTTCCTGCAGTCTATAGGAACTTACATTTAATGTGTAATGATGCTGTATCCATCACCTACAACCATTCAAGAAGCACTTGTACTTCATTTAGTTTATGTTGCTAGTGGGTGAGATCAGCTCATGTGGAATTGTTTCACCCAAATTAATTTTGGAAGTCAAAATTAGGATTGAAGTGATAATTTTTGGTTGGGGTGAAACTTCATGTAATTAACCGTTCATGTTTTTCTGAGAGTTGGATTTTTTTTTTGAACAACAGTTGCAATTAGGTTTGTGAATGTTTTATTATGTAAGTTGGATTTGCTCTCTTCTCAACTGAATTTTTATTCCCAGGTAATACTGAATATGTAAACAATACGTTTTCATTGCTGTGTGTCTAATGTTTCAGATTGTGGGCTGCGTATTTGTTTTCATTTACACTGGAAAGTAAACATTCACTAAATGGTGGTGGAGAGCTCCGACAGTTTATTTGAGTTGACACTAATATGGTCGATGCTGTATCAATCACTTACAACCATTGGAGTATTATTCTTCATTGTTTAGATACATGCTAGTGGGAGGACATCTGGAAGTGTTACACCTAAACCTGGAGAATTTGACATTTAATATTCAATTTTAGGCATGGTCAGGATTTAATTAACATTTTTTAGAAGTTAGACAGTTTTCCTACACTTGATGTAATCTTGGGTGGCTTAACGTGGTGGAACCTTCTCAGTGACCTTAATCAAAGATATTTCACTAATAGTGCTTGGATTTTAACTGTGCAAGAGATCATTCACTGCATTCTCTTAGTGTTCTTTCTCTAACATTTATATGTAGAAAAGTTGTTTACCATGTGAGTTCCTGATGGACGTGGGATAAGGGCATTACATCCTGTACGATAGGCTCACTAGCATAGGTTTGTTAAAGGGAAAATTCCTGAACCTTGTGTGTCACAAATATTTTATTGTGGAATACCTGAGTCCCTAGGGTTATTATACAGGAATATTTCCCATGTTTCTCCAACTCTGTTACCTGAATTCCATGTTTCACTAATATGTTATTGGTTCCTTTGGGGATTAACATGTCTAATTCTTCCTCTGCATTAAAATTGCAATTGGTTAGTTCTGAAATACCTCATTGAAGAATCATAATTGAGGTTTGTTATTGTCTTCTGTTTCTGGACTTGAATTAAGCTGCATCATCTTTCGTGGATTCAATTGTTGGCATGGATAAGCACTAACAAACAAAAGTATATATATGGACTTAATTGTATTCATTTTATGTGCAGCATCCAAGGTGGATCCCATGCACCTTGAGTATTTCACATTCTCTGGTCGAGTAATGGCTTTAGCTTTGATGCATAAAGTGCAAGTCGGCATTGTATTTGATCGGGCATTTTTCTTGCAATTGGCTGGGATGCGTATTACTTTGGAAGACATACGGGATGCAGATCCATGCTTGTATAGCAGTTGCAAACAGATTCTGCAAATGGATCCTGAGTTCATTGATTCAGATGCTTTGAGTCTGACATTCGTTAGAGAAGTTGAGGAACTAGGATCCAGGAAAGTTGTGGAACTTTGCCCTGGTGGGGAGAGTATCGTTGTAAATAGCAAGAATCGGGAGAAATATGTCGATCTTCTCATTCAGCACTGCTTTGTCACATCAATCTCTGAACCAGTATCTAGATTTGCACGTGGTTTTGCTGATATTCTTTCAAACTCTGGGCAACAGAAGCTCTTCTTCCAGAGTTTAGAGCTTGAGGATCTTGATTGGATGCTATATGGAAGTGAAAATGCTATCTGTGTGGAAGATTGGAAGGCACACACTGAGTACAATGGCTACAAGGAAACCGATCCTCAGATATCCTGGTTATGGAAGGTATGTTCTTGCATTCTTATGTTCCTGTCATATCTCAACTATAAAGTGCTTTCTTTTACCATATACTTTGCTCTTTCTTCCCATATATCTGGATTTCATGATATGAGTTATAATCTTTATGTGCTGGATAATATATTTCCTTGGAAAATAACATATCTGCAGAGTGCACACTGTTGCTCTTTTCCTTTCATATTTCTTGGAAATATCTTTGGTTCATTGTTTTCTAACATGGCAGAGCAATCCCTATCTGCGTATCCTTACCAGGTGTGCTGCTGTTTTTCCTGCTTGAGTAAAGCCTAAATACTATGTGAATGCAATTCTTTCTATTGTACGAGGCTGTGGAAAAAAGGACATGCAAGATTGCGAGGCATTTCACCATTTTACAGCTGCATGTCAGTTTATCTCTTTGGTCAATTACTTTGAAGCTGAAAGATGTATGACGAAGTTCTAGACATACAATAAATACCAAAGCAATTCAAATTGCTGTCCATGTTTGTCTTGTCAAATTTACAAGTCATCTTGAATCTCAAATGCTCAAGGTTGTGTCATGAATTCCCCAGCATACTGATGATGTTGTGGTTGAATAAGGAAGAAAATAAGGAACTTGGTTTGGATTCTTGAAGATAACATTTAGGAGTTTTTAAGTTATGTCATTATACGAAGTTTTGTGTTGAAGTTTGAACACACATATTATTCATGCATGCATTTACATGAAAACAAATGCCAAAGTGTTGAACATTCATGTTATTTTGATTGCACTTATGTGTGAAAGGGCAGAAGGTTGCTGCTGTGGAGTTAGAGCATAGGGGGTGTGGTTAGGATGTCATACTTACCTTAACAAGCATGCCAGGTTTGGGAGGGGTACGGACAGTTGAACGAGTGTAGATTTTGTTTCAATATTTTTTCCTCTTTCTGTGCATGTCTGTGTGGTTGGTTGGGGAAGAAATGTTTTAGATACAGATACAAATTGAAAACTGAAACAAAAAGAGGGATCAGTGGAAAATAAATAAATATTTTATCTTTGAAATCAACCTTGAATTATGTTTTTTTAATTTTGAATTCCATTTGGTGGTTGGGAACGGGTGGGCCCTGGGAGGGGGGGTTCATTTGTCAAAAAACACTACTTTTGAGCAATCTTAATATATCCATGATTGAATTCTCTGCAAGTTTTTGGGTTTTTCATGTTGGATGGTCTCTTTATCCCATCAACATTGTGGAGTTGATCTTATTTATTTGTTAGGCGATAAATCAAGACTGACCACAAAACGCTTCAAAAATCAAGAAACCCTAAAGGAACTCGTGAAGGACTAAAAATCCCCCAGATGGCTACTTCTTGGATTGATTAAAGAACCTCGTGGTAGCAATACATACTCAATCCTTGTGTGACAAGGAAAGAAGAAAGGAAAAGGGAGTTTGACTGGTTGGATGCAAGCATATGTTATGTTATTTCACGGGCCAGTGTATATCTCTATTTTATGGGCCAGGGCTAACAGAGTATACGGATAGATGCAGGGACCGATTCAAGAAAACTTCCTAGATTACAGCAAAACACTTGAAGTCACTTTGATTAAGATTGGCATTTATAGGAGAATTAAGGTTAAGATTTTATTTTATTTCAATTTGGGTTGTTTTACTTGGGTTGGATTAGTGTTTCAAGACTATAATACTATTTTGATGTTTTAGTTGGGTTGGAGCATTTTGCATAGTGAAGCTAAGTAATTAACATGTGCATGCATTGGCATAGTCTTTCATGTTCTATCATGGATTTGAGAATGTCAAATAGGGAGGGTAAATTAATGTTGAGAGGTAACTTAACTGCATGGATTAGTAGCCCTAGCTAGCCTGTAGTTTTCAAGCTTTTTTTAATGAAAATTTTCAAAATGACAATTGCTTATGTTTGATTACTGGGGAGGAAAGTTAGGAAGACAAGAGAATCTTTAATATTATATCATGGATTTTAATGGAAAGAGGAAGCAACTTGGAAGTAAATTCCATGAAGAACCATTTCCTTTAGCACATTAAACCAAAAAAAAAAATGTGGATTTGATTGTTTTCTATTCATTATTATTTTTTTAATTGTGGATAGGAAAATTGGATTTACTATTTTATCTTTTAAAAAAAATTTTAGCAAGAGGATGAGCTAGAGTCCTTTTAATAGGGTCATTTTCAGGGTTAGAAGAGTATCTATCTTAAAATTACATAATAAATTATTATAAATACCCTTAAATTTAATTAATTGTTTTGTGTCATTGAGGGGTAAATTTGTATTTTTATTTTTAAAATGTATAAAAAAATAATCAACTTAACCTTATATATAAACATATTTTGGCCGGCTAGAAAAGGTATTTTTGTCCTATCATTTTTATTTGTACAGTAAAAATACCTCCTTACACTTGAATTTTAATTTTTCATGCCCTGTATACGAAGGTATTTTGATAATTATACTATTTGTTTTTTTTTTGTTATTAGGTAAAGTGAAGGTTATTTTTGTCTTTTAAAAAATTAAAAGGATTTAAAAAAAAAAAGATGGAATGTGTTGGGTAAATGTCACTATTTTTTGGATGGTGCATACATCTAATCTAATTTTAGCAATCAAAAATATCATTTTGAGCATCATTTGATTTGTCTCGATGTCTTTTTGATATAGAAATAACGTGGGTAGAAAATAGAGCTTTGATTTGACTTCGACGACTATTTTTTCTCTCTTTTTTTCCCTCTCTCCCCCTCTATAATTACATCATGCTTTGCAATTTTTCAAATCAGCCTCTTGACTTTTCTTTATTTTTTATTTTATCTCTAATTTTTTTATTAATATTTTTTTATTTTAAATAACTTATGAAAATAAAAATTTATTTCAATTTCATCCTAATTTTATTTTTTTTACTTCTTTTTATTTTTTATTTAGTTCCTGATATTTTGGTTGATTTTTTTTTATTTGGAATAACTCATGAAAAATGAATTTTTTTATTTCATTTTAAATTTGTCTTATTTTGTCTCATTTCTTAATTGCTATTTATGTCATCTATGATTATTTTTATAGTGTAAATTTTTTTATGATTTCATTTTTAATCATTTTTTTCTTATTAGATTTTGTCCTTGTTTTTTTTCTTTGCTAAATTTTTTAGTTTTTTTTTAATACTCAATTTCATCTTTTAGCATTTAGTTGATTTAGATTTAAACTTCTTGTTTAACCACAGTTTGGAATTTCACATATTCTAGTTTGAAAAATTAACTTAAGTTAAAGACTTTTGATAGGGATTTTTTTTTTTTTAATCATTCTTTTCTATTGTTGCCTTCAATTTAAATGAGATTATTAGATTAACCGATCTTATTAAATATAGTTAAGTTAATGACCTGAATATCAAAAACAAAATTTAAAATTGTACTGTCCGTGAAGTAGGGTGATTACCAATTTAGTTTGATATATAAGGGCTAAAAATATAAATATTTTTTACTTATTCTTATTATCTTTTAATTAATACTATAAAATTTAAGACCCTAATGATAAACTCACAATCATAAGTTAGTTAATTAATTAATTGAGAAAGCAACGATAAACTCCTATACATTGGGGATGGTTTGGAGTATGCCCAATCTCTTAATTTTAATGGGTGTTTTTTTATACCTCTCGACTATATATAATGAAATTTACAGATTTAAAGTGTTAGTGTCATAATTCAATGATTTCAGTTGTTATTAAACTCATTTTATTTCATGATCTAAACCAAGTTATAAATTATATTGGTTAATGTAATATTGTTTTAATTTTATTAAAAAATTAAAATAATATTATTTAAATTTTTTTAAATCAAACTAGATTTTAAGTTATAAATTCATTAGGGTGCCTTGAATTTAACTAAATTAATTTTTATTTTATTTATTTTTTTAACTTGACCCCCAGCCCATTTTGTTTTATTTAATCTTTTATAATTCTTGAGAAATCTGATGTGCGATATAGCTGGGAATGGCCCTTTTGGTGTTTGCTATTGGAAGAGAAATTGACGCCATTGCTCTTTACTTCCATGCAAAGCAATACTGCTTGGTTGGACGCTTTGTGTAAATCACAAATTATATA